CATGATCGTAAACTGAAGTGGACCTAATGTAGCCCATGACGTCGAGTATTATGATATTTTAAATAGAAAAGAAATTTTAACGACTACGGAATAGTTAGAAGCGGTGCACAAACAACCCTCACCACCCAGCGTTTGGTAAAGGTTTGTAACATAACGTACTAGTGTACGAAAACAAATGTATGTGTTATGGTTGTAAAAGTTGAGACAAGATGCAGACCTACTTTGACCATTCACATGTGTTAAACGTTAGTTTTGCCTGGCAGGGCTCATTAACCCCACGTGGGGTAATACAAGGATGTGTCCAGAAGGACCAAGTTGGTTATTTTGTTTTCATTAAATGTAAAAAGCTAAATATTGATATAACCTCGTATAATTACACTGCTGGAAGTGACTGGAATAAATACACATAATGTCGTAGTTTCTAACAGGTTGTTCAGTTTGCTTTGGATTGTTGTGGAATTTACTTGTTTGTTAGTGTTAGTTTATTTATTTAGTGGTCATTTCATAAAAGACTATTACAATAAGGACAATTAGTAATGGGATAGTGCATTCTAGTACGGTTCTTATTCAACCGTCAGTTGGTGGTGAGTTAGATTACCAATGCCTATCGGATAATTCGAAATATTCCCGGTATCTGGGCCAAAATTAGCAGCAACTGGGTACGTCGCTGTCAGTGTTGCATTGAAGCGAATGGCGTACAATTGAAACATTTTTTAAAAAAGGTACGCTTTTCTTTTTCACTTTTCCCTTTTTTTTACAGGGTGGAAGTGCATTCGGCCTCTTCCCGGGAGGTACTTGTTACATCCACACTAGATCAGCTGAGCGATATTGGTCGCCTAGATCCAGGCCCGTAATGAAACAAATTGTACGTTCAAATTTACAAAGACGATTTGCGAGCTCAATTGTCACTGGATTGAAAAACTGTATAACACTTTTTTGTTGTATTTTGTGTCAGGAAGCCATGTTTTTTTTTTTTAATTATTATAACTGGGACACCCTGTATATATCTTGTCACCAGCTTCATATTTCTCGAACACTAGAGCAATCTATACCTCAAACTATTTGCGAACAGTAATCTAATCTGGGTCTACCTACCTATGCCACAATAGCTTCTAATTAATTTGCCTTTAACTAGCCCTTCATGCCTGAGAAGGTGCCCTACCAACCTATCTCGCCTATTTCTTATTGATTTTCATAACGCCTTCTATTCTCCTATTCTTGTTAATATATCTCCTTAGTTCTAACCTTTTTTGTCCACATTATTCTTAATATCCTCCTGTAACACCACCACTTCTCAGACGTTTCCAACCTTTTTTGTATCCATCGTCCATGTTTCACACTCATGCGGAACCGTGATCGTTTTCGAATTTTCAAATTAACCAATCTCGTTTTGAACTTGAAATTTTGTTTTAATATAACTTTTATATATGAAATTCTGTATATTTTCTACCAAATATAACGAAAGCTCTGAAGAAAATTCTTTTGTAGGATCAGTATTGGTAGACCATCCTTCGTTAAAAGTATTAAGAAACTAAAGTGCTAAATTTAAGAAATACACCACGCATAATTTAAGCAGCTTTAATCAATTTTCTCATTATATGTATCAATACTTGTTTGGTTTCTATTATTACATATTAAGTTTTTGCATTGCTTAATGGGTCGTAATTAGACTTCTTATTTTTAGAATTTCATTAAAATGTATTAATAAACGATCGATTGGTTTTTCATTAACTTCTGGTTTGCCGCAGTACCTAATCGACTAACGTTAAATTAGTTTTTTCTTATACAACTTGTTATTTTTACGCGAACACCTACTGTTATCCAATTGCTTATTAATAAATCTTTTAATAGCTATGAATATACATACATACATACATATACAATGTTGCCTGCACGCCATCAATATCAAGACTTCATTAATTATTATCCAACCTAATCTATTTATTAAAACAACGGAAATTTTCTAAAGATGGGGGGTTGATCGATAGAGCCTATTTTTAGCAATCAAGATATTCTTTTGTATTTGTGTAACATTATTGGTATTATTCTGGACACGTACTACAGTATAGAAAGTGCTTTTTAACAATTGGCTAAAATTTTTGGAGTTACCTACGTAAGTAGTACTTAATAGGAGTTATTTTGCATTTCTGGTCATTTCTTGAAAACTACATAATTGTATCACGGAGATTTTTTAATATACTATAGTCTCCTATCTTTTTGGAAGGTGTATTATCATCATTAAATCATTTTGGTACTATACGTATTACTAAATACAGGTACCATACCAAAATGATTGGGTTAGCTAGCTGTCCCCGTAGAATAATAAATGCGCTGGTAAAACCAAAAAAGCAAACCCCCATTGCATCTAACATTTTCAAACCTTCTTGTAGAAAATTGATCAGAAAAATTAAACTGTTATATTAGAAAGACCAATAAAGTTCTAGTCCGGTAGTTGAATTGAAAGAAAAGAGAATCATCATAATATTGAACATCCTAAGAATTAATGGTAGTGGAAGATCTCTTCTTTATAGCCAGCTACATTAATGGTTGTAGTAAGATCACTTCTATCGCCAAAACTAGAGACCATGAAGCGGTCTGCATGTTAACGTGCATACTTTTATATATAGGGTTGTTCGGAAAGTCATTTCGTTTTTTCCCGACAGAGGATTTAATTGTATTCTTTTGCACCCAACTACACATTTAAGCCGTATAATTTTTATATGCTTTGAGAGCTCATATAGCAAGGCTTGTGTGTGAAAAATTCCAATTAATTCTACGCAGTAGTTTTTGGGTAAAAATGCTGTTCAAGCCAGAAAGAAATTGACTGATGTGTATGGAGAAGGTGTGTTGACAGTACGCCAGTGCCAGAACTGGTTCGCTAAATTTCGATCCGGCAATTTTGATGTCGAAGATGCACCACGTTCGGGAAGGCCGGTTGAAGCTGATAAAGACGCGATAAAGGCATTAGTTGATGTGAACCGGCGAATAACAACACGAGAGATCGGATTGAGGTTAAATTTATCAAATTCAACAGTTTATGACCACTTGAAAGGTCTGGGATTATCCTCGAAGCTCGATGTATGGGTTCCCCATGTTCTCACAGAGAGAAATCTGTGTCGCCGCATTGACGTCTGCGATTCGCTTCTCAAACGTCACGAAAATGATCCGTTTTTGAAGCGCATCATCACTGGGGACGAAAAATGGGTTGTATACAACAACGTCAAACGCAAGAGGTAATGGAGGAAAAAAGATGAACCGGCTCAAACCATTTCCAAAGCCGATATTCACCAAAAAAGGTGATGCTGTCTGTTTGGTGGAATTTTAAAGAAATCGTTTTTTTTAAGCTTTTACCGGATAACACAACGATTAATTCGGAAGTCTACTGTCATCAGCTGGGCAAACTGAATGATGCACTTCAACAGAAAAGGTCAGAACTAATCAACAGGAAAGGTGTAGTGTTTCACCAAGACAACGCGAGACCTCACACAAGTTTGGTCACTCGCCAAAAGCTTTTACAGCTTGAATGGGATACAATGCTACACCCACCATATTCTCCAGACCTGGCACCATCGGATTATTATTTGTTCCGGTCACTCCAAAATTTTTTTGACGGTAAAACCTTCACCTCAAATGAGGAGGTCGAAAACCTCCTCGGTCAGTTTTTTGCCAGCAAAGACTAAAAATTTTATGAGCGTGGAATTATGCTACTACCAGAAAGATGGCAAAAGGTGTTGGACCAGATTGGTCAATATGTAATTTAATAAAGAATTTGTTTATTATACGAAAACTGTCTTTCATTTCCACAAAAAGAAAACGAAATGACTTTCCGAACAACCCTATAGATAATGTTCTAAGACTTATGGTTGCACAGGAGACATCTGTTTAGTGGTAGTAAAGTTATACTGAGAGGGAAGGGGGTTCCCGTGCATCGGATGGGAGTGATGAGGTTCATCGATTGAAAAACGAAGGAATATAGAAGATGCGGTTAGTGTTTGGGAGAGTTTGGACGGCGTGGCTCTGCCCACACCCTAACTGAGATTTATTTTAAAAATAACCAAGTAACCATATATGTAGAAGTATATTTCTAAAATATTATAAAACCTTGTTTCGTGGACCCCATTCCAGAAAGAGGATAGGTGCGTGTGAGCAGGAAGAGCTCCAACGATAATAACGTTATAGTGAATGTGCTGGTAGGTCAGACATTTTATTTTCGTTTAGTTTTTTGTTTTTCTTCTACTCTATTAATACATTGACAATTAATTAATTAGTAGTAATTTAATCAAAGTGAATATTTAATAATGTTGGTGTAATTAATGATAACAAATAAAACTTAAAGTAAAAATTTCTTGTTTTTCTGTGAGCAGGATCTTACCCTGAGAATGCGAAGATAAGCGGTAACTAAGAGTATTAGAACTGACGCGCTAACCTAAGGAAATAGTAATACTTTCCTTGCGCGTATTTTAGTTATTATTTAGTTAATAAAACATCAGTATGCTTTTCAATATACTTCGTTAACTTTTGACAATGTAAAGCAATCTTTCTGTTATTTTCACTACTACTGGATTCATACTTTGTAAGAATCTACCTGGAGGAAGTGGTTACCCACATCTGTCTAAAAGGTTTTAATAATTTCATAGTGTTTAAATCATTAAAAATTAAAAATATCACCAATTTTATTGGATCCTCATATTCTCGAAATTGGATTCACAACAGTGAATTCAACTTACTTGAAGAAACTATTTTCTTGGCTGGATGGTCGTGGTTTTGAAATCATTCGCCCCTAAGTGGTTCTTTGGTTGATATTATCTTTCCAACAGTTTATTTGACTCAACAATAATCCTTGAAGATGCTTCTCACACTTATTGACGAAATATTGGAAAGAAGTCTCTAACCGTATTAGGGGGGAAGAGTACGAGACCATGATCATCAAGGGTGGAAAATAATTTCCTGACAACGAATGCCGGCCGCGAAATTAAGCGGTTACAATAGATACAACTTACCTTTAGCAGAAGTTGGTAATTTTCTTGACGCCTACGAACTGACTGGACAATCTTTCTCAAGCTGCAAAGAATACTGTTTGTTAGAGAGACTGTGACCATAAGATATACTGACAGAAACAATTAATTCATAATATAAATTACATCTACTAACCACAAAATATGCCTTGATGGATGAAACACATAGATTGAGTTGGTTTATTTGATCGACAAACACCATAGCACGAACACAGGCGTTGCAAATGTATTTCTATATCGTCTATAGGAATAATCAAACACGCAACTACATGTAATAAATGGCTGTACATCGTTGTAGGTCGAGCACACACACGTCGGAAATGTACTAGTGATTCTGCGTGATTGCGATTGTCTTAAGCACGACTACGCTTATTGGAGAAGAAGTCTTTACCAGACAAGAGCTTCAACGCAAGTTCGGGTAATTGCTCAGTAGATGCGGCTGGTGTGGGATGATAATTTATACATATCTAATGTAAACATCGAATTGCTGGAGATTAATTTTATGACGTCAGGAGCTAGTTCGCACTCACCCGACAATTTTCGTAACGTAGATATAAAACAATAATAATAGAATAAAAGAAAGATGAATAATATCAGAAATAAACTTTTCATTTAATGATCCTGCAATTACGTATAATATAAAAAAAAGAATTGATACATACCTTTTGTTTTCTTGTATGCCATCACTGAAGCACTTTGTAATATTCAGGTATTATACAATATAAAAACTCAATATACGATTTTAATCGAAAATAGTCATTTTAAAATTTAAAATGAAAATCATTGTCCAGCGGTCCCCAATGGTCATTCACATCTGAAGAACAAGCTTTTAAACATTTTTGGGAGCGCAACCTTTGTCACATTTGGTTTATAATCTATGCGTGACATTGACCTCGATCTTGAATTGTATCAAGTTCAAGTTTTTGTTTTCGTGAAGTTGTTGTGGTGCATCATCCGTTATCGGAGTTCGGCTTTTGGAGAAAATTACTTACATAACAAATGAGACTCACATAGTTCTTACATTTCTTTATTGATAAAGAAAATCGATTATTAATGTGTATTGCTTACTGTGACAATTACAGTGCGTTTTGGATTCTCTTACTGATATGTTTTGCATTGTTTTGTAATTTCCAGATTCCTTAATACAATTACTATCACTTTCGTTGTTGTTCCTTTTTTTAAATATTGCAATAAATTAATGCTAATACTGAAACAAAAAGGGACATTCTTCAAGCCTCGATTCTTTATTTCACTCTGTCAATAATAAACAAATACTGACTAGTCATGAGAAGCAGGAACTTGGGCAACTCATTTCGAAACACAATTAGAATAATTATTATAGGTAATTATTATACAGAGTTGTCGAGATTGAAAAATGGACAAAAAAGTAATATAATCATCACATGCTACACGACTCAACATGAGTCAAATCTATTTAATTCTTTATACACTTATAAAAGTTAAAGACCGCTAACTTACGTCCTAACTAAAATTTAATATCTTTTTTAGATCACATAATTGTACAGTTTACTGATAAAATTGTTGCATTACATAATTAACGAACTGCACGATCTTGACGGCGCGACTTCAATAAAACGAAGTTGGACCACAAGGATCGACGTACGGGACGATTAAATCTAATTTTCAGTCTCTCTCGGGCAAAAAGAAGTTGCCTTTTTTACGTGGAGCCGCTAAGGCACAGCGTGTCTTGGAAAAAATCCGCAGTCAAACATGAAGATGCTGGATTTAACAAGAAAGTTATCTTCTAATAGACATAAATTTGTTTAAGCTGCGGTCTCAGCTCTGCTGGGATGGTGTAGACTTCTGGAGGCTTCTTCTTTACCAAACGACGAAACCTACCGCCAAGGTTCTTCCGGAAACCACGGACAAAACCGGGCCTTTCCGTAGGTAAATTTTGTACCAGCGCGTTCTGTAACAATAAAAAAAAAATGATTCTTTAGCACAACAGCGTTACTAAAGAATAGGGGGAAGGAAGGCGGAATAAGAAGGAATTTATATTCCTGGGCCGTCTAGGTCATTATTTTTTAATCGGAACGTTCTCATGTGACCGTCTAGACTGAAGAGACGGTTGGAAAAAGGTCACGGATCCAAAGGCAAATTAGAATTTCTAAGAATCGACTGACTACCTAACAGTTAATATGATTTCGTATCCGTGGCGAAGAAGACCAAAGAACAAAGACTGTTTAAAATTTCTAATTGCGGAACGTTAACTGTCTACTACCATCTACGTAGCCAAAGCCAAGCCTTTCTATGCAGATTTTTTGCCAACTGAAATCCGTTATGTGCTACTTGACGATCATGTCTCAACGGAACGGTAACTGTACAAGCCACGTGTGTACTCTTCACCACACACACACATACACCAACATATATACATACACATACGAAACAAGCGGTTCCCTATCGTACAATGTAACCTCACCCGAGGAGTTCGTTCTGTCTCCTCCGTTTCAGACAGCAGGAAAAATTTTAAACGGGCACTGTTGCCAAGCGATCCCATCTTCGTCAGATACTTTACAAATCTGTACTTTCTCTGCACCGGTTTGGAGAGAAGGCCGATTGATCGATTTCACACCACGAATAAAAGGACAACAATAAGAACCAATCAGTCGTATACGACGATATAACAGCAACGGCAATTGATATAAGCAATAATAATTGCAGTTGCGTAAATTAGATTTCAAACAATCGTTCTACTATTACACGTTATTATGAAGGGTCCGTCGAACATGAAAGTCAGTTGGCGCACGATTCAGTTCAACCTTCAAATGGCTCACGTTGGTTTCACAATATGCTTCGCGATTTTAGGTTGGGGCTGCGGCCCGTGGCACTTTATTTGTTCCAGTTGTTACCGTGCAACACTCCTTTCGAATCAACTTCGTAACTATAGTGGGTTGCTGGTATTTATTAAAATATGTAGTAACTCTTTCCCCCTCGACTGACTGGCTGACACGAAAGAAAGTTGCCGTGGCAAAATATTACTGTACTCGTAAGAATATATGTGTATGAAAGCAAAGCGGGCACACTTTCTTTATCTCATGATAGATAATATACACACAGAGAGACACTGTTGCCAAAGCCAAAGACCATTTCGCCAACGGCTTGCGTCTAATACGAATGAAATATTACAACATAGACATTGACATTTTAAGTGTTCGCCGAATCCTTGTCGTAGTTTTTGCTACGAAAGAAGTAGCAGTAAATAATCGTAATTAGGTAGGCAGGTGGGTGGGTGGTGGGCATGACCTCAATTACTTTTTCGTTTCACTTCTGCACAAAGTGAATTACGAGTAGCGTGTACCTATGTAGGAAGAAAAACGGTCCAAGGACCGACGTGCCCCCTGTTTTTCTCCAGTGACTCTGATCTGGCAACGATGAGAACGTCCGAAAGAAGGTGGACAACGAAGGACGAGAGGTTCTTTTCAAAGGTTTTGTACCTACCTGATTGTTGCTGTACAAATAGGGTTGGACGGGGGGCGGCGGGAACTGCCAGAGGATCTGATCTCGATATGTTGTGTTGTTCTGGTCGGTGGCCTGGCCGTTGGCCTGGGGTGCAGCGGTCACGGGGTGAGCGGAAGCAGTATGGAGCACCACATCTGTCGGGTGGACGGTGTTGCTGTGTTCCTCCCGCTTCCGTAGCTTGCTGCGAACAAGACTAATAGCTATCATGGTGCCGTTGCTACCGACCATTGTAGTATTTCCGACACCCTTCGACGAAAAATTGAAAATCGCCAGCTTGAGGCCGTTACAAGTAACAGTTCAAAAAATTTCCTAGCTTCTGCGAAACCACCACCGGGGTTTCTGGTCACTAATATTTCTTTAACAACTAACTACTAACAGTCACAAACAGCGTCAACTAACAACTGCGATACAATTGCATCTGCACGAGTCTCTTTGTACTGATGAACATGAGGTAGTAGTAGTAGTCCGTAACTTCACTATATCTATAACAGTTGGTACACACTACTTATTTAACAATAGGAAGGTGTAACCGTGTCTATTCACTAGCAAAACGAGAGCTTCTTTTTACGATAATTATTGACTAGATTGACTTCAACAGTAGCAAGATTGCACTGTCGACGAAGCAATGAGCGCTGGGCAAAAAGCGTTTCCAAACACTCGTCACCGTTCAGTTTCTGATCCGTGGAACAGGTCGCGGTCGGTTATATAGGGAGCGGTGAAGTTCAATCGACGCGCGCCTGTAATTTTGTAACGTTCGTCGTCCGGGGGTCCCAAGACGGTGGAAAACCGAACAAACGGACTCGCGTTTCATAGGAAATTCGAACGATAACAAAACACTGCAGATGCAAGTGAAACCGCAGCGAGGGGTGATGAATAATAAAGGAGAAACCGCGAATGCCCGATACTGGTATAGATATTTAAATTTTCAGTCAATTTCGCAATTACTACGAATTTTTGAAAACGGCAACATTATAATGTATTATGTAAATTGTGGTACTACCGCTTGCCAAATATTTTGATCAAGTAAAAGCTTCATAGAAAAGCTTTTCGGATTTTATTTTTTGTTTAATTCGTGATGTAAACATCTTTTATATTAACATCGTATCACTTACCAAAGAAAGAAAATTAAAATTAGAAAACGCGTTTACAAAAACAAAAACGTAATTATAAACGCTTCATTTAGGATTTAATTGACATTTAAAATTTGTTATTTTATTTGTCCCCAATTCTATAATAAATTTAATAAAATAATAAATTCAAAATGGAAAACACATACCGATCTAATTTTTTCAAATACTCCTCCATAACTTTTAATTTTACGTTCTATCGGCGATCGTGAATTATTCAAGTAAAATATCTAACAACCGCAGGTTTTCTTCGCACTTTATATAAAACTAGTCAATTATCGAGTTCGTTCAATGTTTCAATCAATGGTAGGAATATTTGCTATTGTAACAGTAATTAATTAAAACTGTGTTGAAATCAAGTTCAGTTGTTGGCCCGTAATGGAAGTGACCTTTTGAAATAAAAATCACGATAGCACCAATTTGTTGCACGCCTTCGATAATTGATTTGACTCCTAAGCGCAATGCGTTTTTAAATATTGTAATAAACGTAACCAAGTGTCGAAATCGGCATAAACGAAGTTTTGTGATCGAACATACACATTTCTAAAACAATGGCTTATTCATTTTTACTTTGCATCCATTTAAAAACAGATAAATTTATTAAGTTGTACTATTTTTATTATATTTATTTGTTAAGAAGTTCCAAGGAATAATGACAATTCTAAAAAATTAGATATGAAAGTGTTTGATTTTGAATCGTAATTTTCTCAGATAAATCTGATAACTGCGACTGTCTTGTTCCCATGAAAACGCAAATGCAAAACAATTCTCATGTTTTATTGGATGTAGTAGCCTTATTCCTACAGTTCTGGCGGTATTTCTTTTAGAATATACATATATATACCTATTGCGCACTGACTTAGAAACATACGTTAATTATTGTATTTTTCTTAAAAAAAGATTACATTATCAATAGCAAAGTGGTTAGATATACCCAGTTGTGTATTGAAGGTCTTTTTAGTAAAAAATCCAATTGGCAACAATTCTAGAAATACTTTGTACTTCAGATAATAATATCGTATTAGCTAGGTACATATTTTTTATTTCATTCATAAGTATCTCGGTTTACAGCTCGCCCCGCAGTCAGACGCATACTTTACAATATCTACAATACAAAACAATACCGTTTCTATTTTTATATCTTAAGTTTCTTTAAATAGATTCTTTTCTTCTGCAGTCGAAAATTTTTAGACCAGGATTAAAAATCTTTTGTGAATGCTGCTCCAACGTAAAAGGTTAATAATTATCATAATTTCATTCGATATGCTGGAATCTCTTATTAGATTATTCACATTTGTTCTGACGTAAAGGAAGTAAAAAAAAAAGGAGATAAATTATTTCAACATTCTGTTGCTGAACTAAAGACGGCGCCATCGAAATCGTATTTAAATGTTATTGTTTTTTATGAAAAGATTGTTCGAATGTCACTGATTCAGGATGCCGTGTTGTTCTCAACTTTTTTTCCGTCATGCGTCAGTCATAATTTTGCGATACACCACTACGTAAATATCCAAAATATAATGATTGGGTTTATAATTTAGAGAAACATTAATGCAATTTTCAGCAGTTGAAATGAAAACTTCATTCTATTGCCGCCCCACTAAAGAATGCTTTACATTAGCCCGTGAGCTTGGAGCGCCTTCCGTCTGGTATTTAACGTCTACCCTAAAGATCGATAAACAAGGGAAATTAAAGGGTCGTAGAACTTGGGCCAAGCTATCTACTACCTGTTCTAATAATATAATGCCCTAAAATAGGTTCTAAAGTCGTTGCAAAGCCCGCTTATATATACAAACATCTTTAGCTCCAACATACGAATTCTTCAAGGTTCAATTCTGATGTCTCTTTTCTATTGTTATATTAGCATTTAGAAGAATATTCGATAAATCGCTTACCAAATGGAAGGGCCTCTTTAAATGCTAGTTAATTCAATAATATATGTTATGTATGACATGTTGATGAGATCAAGAAGAAGAAACAATGCAGTTTAAACTTCAATTGATATTATTTATCACCTTGTGTGTACCATAATGTGATATTTATTAAAAGCGCAGTCTCTGATGCTGTTAAACTGTTTTTAATACGAGTGAAATTGTTTAATTTGTTATTGAAAATCTTGGGATGTGAATTACCAGTCAAGTGCCTATTTGCATATTGCATTAGCTTCTCGATGAATTCATTAGAAATTTTCCGAAGTGTGCAAAACAAAGTTTTTATTATAGCTACCACAATTGCAATTAGTTCGGTTTAAGTATGCACTCGAACGTATCAGTTAATGTTGGACTAACAAAAGGAAGTTTTCTAATAAGCGTTGTTCATACGGATGAAATCCAATGAAGACCTTTAACAGTAAAAACGCGAACGTGCGTTGAATGCACAATGTTCAATAGAAAAAAGCGACAGTAGCATTTGTAACGCGTATTTTTCCGAATTACCAATAAGACCTTATACGAGCCGTTTGACTTTCAAACCGTATACGCATAGCTTCCTGTATTTTACAATACACTCAAGGCATCGTTATTGAAATTGCGAATTTACAATAGCTCATATTAAGAAATCCGAGTTGGGCAATTTGGAAGCAATCGAGAAAAGCGCGGAACGATAAATAATTTTTCCGTGGGTTTTGGCACCATGACTAACTAACGTAAGAAAGAAACGTTTTATCCAATGAGCAAAAAAATTAGCGTCAACGGTAATGTTCTTTGACAAAATCGGTAAAACGAAACACTATTGAGTTAGAAGCGTTCTTCGTCCTGTTTTGGCCACTTGGCCAGTGAACAGAATATCAATATATTTTGTGTTATCATAGAGTCCAATCGTAAACAACCAACAAGATTCCTTAGTACAAGTGAATTTTATACAGAGCGTTTGCTATTGGAAAAATCAGAACAAAGAGCGCAATGGAAATCAATAAGGAAAAATGGAAATGGGACAGTCGGACGTCTTCTGAGACATGAAGAGTTAGTTAGAGACAGGTCACGAAATATAAACAGGTGTAAAGAGAGGCAAACTTTTGGGTGTTTCATTCCCACCAGCCAGTAATTCTGGTGGGCGGGGAGACCCTTCGGGCTACGCCGGAAGGTAGGGCGGAAGGCCCTCTTCAGCCTGCTTTCAGGAATCGTGGGAATGAGTGGGTGGTGGTTCGGGTGAGAAAGATGAGACGGACGAAATGAAGACAGAAGAGAATGAAAGATTATCTCTGGAATATTACTGCCGCAGCATTTGCCTAGGTGATCCAAGGAAACCACAGAAAAACTTGGACCAAGGCAGACGGACCCGGAATCGAACTGAGAGGCAAAGGAAGACCTAGATTATATTCATCATTATCATCATAAGGTCATCAGGCCTAAGACTGGTTGGACACGTACCTCCACTCTTTCCTATCCTGAGCTAAACTTCGCATTTCCCTAAAACTAGAACAGCCCACATTCTTAACTATTTACGAAGAGTAATCCAATCTAGGTCTACCTCTACCGCTCCTAACTCCTGTTTCTGCTTCTAATATGTCTCTGACTAGACCTTCATGCCTGAGAAGGTGTCCTACCAACCTATCTCGCCTATTTTTTATTGACTTCCATAGAGTCCTCTGTTCGTAAATGGGTAGGGATGTGGGATATTCTGGTTTTTTTGGGAAGGCGAAGATTGATTCAAGTTCCAAACAGTTTTCGGAATAACGACCCTGTGACAATGAAGATAGTGGTAGCGATTTGTCTTTTATGGAATCAAGTACCTATTGTTCCAAAATATATCGAAAAAACACTGAAAGATTTTGAGCATTTATAAAAATTGAAGTTTTTACCTAGAAATAGGTACTACGCCTTCACTGTGCTATTAGTACTTGTATTACAGCTACAGTAAAAATAAGAAACTTATTACTTACGATACTTTATTAAAATTTATTAATTATTTATTGTAAAAGCAATCACCTTTCCCCCTTCTTACTAGAGTGCGTTATAGCAAAGCTAAAAGCTGACTGAGACGCTGTTGCTGTATGGGTGATGCATCTCGGGGCAGTGTCCGAACAAATTAAATTATTTATAGCTAGTCGGAACTA